CTCGACCCTTTTTTGTTTTTAGTATATATTAACGACTTACCTCACTTTGTCAAGGACAATCTCGAGATTGTGTTGTTTGCAGATGATACATCACTATTATTTAGACTAAAACGGACACTTTCTGATTTCACATTTGTAAACAGCGCCATTTCGAAAGTGGTTCATTGGTTTGATGTCAACAATTTACTATTAAATGAACAAAAAACTAAGTGTATACGTTTCACTATGCCAAACGTCAAGCCAGTGAAAACTACTGTGATAATTAAGGATGTCGGGCTGGACCTTGTGGACACTACGACATTTTTAGGTATAACACTAGATGCTAAGCTACAGTGGGGCCCACATATTGATAAATTGTCGAGTAGACTCAGCTCAGCAGCATACGCAGTAAGGAAAATCCGAGAGTTGACTGATGTTGATACAGCACGACTTGTTTACTTCAGTTACTTTCATAGCATAATGTCGTACGGTATTCTGCTGTGGGGGAATGCTGCCGACATTCAAACTATTTTTGTGCTGCAAAAGAGAGCTATTCGAGCACTTTATAATTTAGGCAATCGTTGTTCATTGAGGCAGAAATTTAAAGAAATAAATATAATGACAGTGGCAAGTCAATATATTTATGAAAATGTAATATATGTTCACAAAAATAAAGATAGCTTTTTGAAAAAAAGTGATGTACATGCCATAAATACCAGAAATAAAAATAAATTTGTTGTACCCGCCTCTAGGCTCCAAAAGATAAACAAGTCTTTTCGAGGTCAATGTGTCCGATTTTATAATAAAATCCCAAATAATATTCAGGAGTTGAGTATTAACAAATTTAAATCCGCAATAAAACGTGGCTTGTGCCAGAGGGCCTACTACTCGATTGTGGATTACATGGAGGACAAGAATGCTTGGGATTAATTAGCGCAGGCTATTTCTTTCTTAAGTAAAAATGTGGTGTGGCTAGTATGTTTTTTATTATTTTTTCTATTTTTTATGTTTCACTTCATTTTCTCTTGTATTCGTTTGTTCTTCTTAATCTTGTTTTCTCTTCGTTGTTTTTTTCACCTTTAAGTCCTTAATAACGGACATACTAGCACACATCAAAACAATGTTGTGATATATTTTATAGTGCCATTGTATCTACTTGTGAATTGCAAAAGAGTGGCCATGAGTTTGTTTGCCCTTTCTTCTCATAAGGCTCAACCCCTTGGAAACGGGCGGTTGTAGATCGGCACAGGCATATCATAGATTTTGTATGGGTTTGATTTTGTTAAATTTATTTGGTTACTATTTGACAAAACAGAGATTGTTGCTTTTGTGTGTGTTGATCTATGACTTTAGAGTCTACATGGAAGACGATTTCAAACAATTTTGAAAATTTTATGAAATAAAGAAAGTTTGAGTTTGAGTTTGAGTTTGAGTTGTATATGTATACTTATATACGGTATTTTGTCTAAAATCACAAAGCATAAAAAATACCGTATGATGTGCATTTAATGTTGAAGGATGCTATTATCGAGACGATAACTGTTTTATTATTAATAAAGAGCAAAAAGCCAACATCACGTGGTATTCCCAGGCGGTCACCCATCCAAGTACTAACCACGCCCGATGTTGCTTAACTTCGGTGATCGGACGAGAACCGGTGTATTCAACATGGTATGGACGTTGGCGAGCATATGACTAAATTTAATGTATATAACCCTCGTAGTATGACGTCAACTAAATGTTAAGATATTAATTTAGGATATGTGCGATAAGCCGCTCCGCCATTTTTGTTAAGATTAATTTTATAGTGAGCTAAATCTAGTGGCACGGTAGAGCCAACCGCAGCGCAGCGTCTCGTATTTTTTTTTTATTTCTTAATAAATGAAATTCTGAGGATATGATGTCAATAGTAGTAATATTAATTATGTAAAGTGTCAATAGCATAGCTCTTACACTTTAGATTTTATTCATATCTCACTGATAATTATCAAAATTCATAGGGTACTTCCTGAAGACCGAGAAAGCTGAAATTTGGTGTGTAAGCTAGTATTAGTATACAAACATATAAAAATTATAGAACTTATACATAAATTATATTATAAATAATGAATGATTATTATTATTATTATTAATCAGATTCAGCTAATGCCTATGTGTCGACCTTGATCTACCAATTATTCCAAAGAGTAAAGCAACAAAAAAAGGCAAATGTAGAGAGTGAAAAGAGGTACCTCAGATGTGCAAAAAAATACACCAGAAAAAACGAAAGAAAAAATGAACAAACTAAAAAAATAGACGTGGGTCATACTGAAAGATTTTAGTAAGCAAAGCAGCATCCACGCTCCGGCTTACTCCGCCAGACGTACTATTGAATATTTGTCTATGGAAGGTGTAGAGCTAGTGAGTCATCCTCCTTACTATCCCGACCTGGCTTGATCACTACAATAGTTACTGTTCTTGTAGTAACGATTGCCTAGCGCTATTCCCTAGCGTCACATGGCTGTTCTTTACTTTACCATTATACAATATTTTGTTGTAGTAACGATTACCCAGGTGAGCATAAATAAATCTAACGCTGCCGTCTAACGCTAGTCGCTACCGTCATACGGGCGTACAGTGAGAAATGTAATACGCTATCACATGGGCGTCAGGTGAAAAATTTATTTACTGTTCAGTAATTTACTGTTTTCTGTTCTTGAAGTAACGAAACGGATAATCCACATATTTTGACTAAGGTGTAAGCATTCTGAAGAGACGACTTGTAGAGTTAGTGCGTATAGAATAGGAAGTTTGGCTCTACATGAGATCTGACAACTTTTTGATAGTCCGAATGTCCAAGCCATATAGTCTCGTCTTGGCAACATTTTACATGAAAATGTTTTTGGTGGAATTTATAACTACTCGTTATAGTTACATACTATCACGCTGTTATAAGGCCATGTTGGTGTTGATCTTTTGTTTAAAACAACAAAACATAAATAAATATATAATTTAAATCAAATAAATTTATATTAAATTGATGTCAGCTGTTTATTGATAAGGAATTTAAAATGTCCTATAGTATTAAATTAATATCTTGACGTCATAGTGCGATGGTACCACACATTAAATTTATTCAACCTCTCGCCAACGTCCATACCATGTTGAATACACCGGTTCTCGTCCGATCACCGAAGTTAAGCAACATCGGGCGTGGTTAGTACTTGGATGGGTGACCGCCTGGGAATACCACGTGATGTTGGCTTTTTGGATTTATTTGAATTAGTCATCGTCACTCATCGTCTCCGTAAAATAGCATTCCTTAATAGTAAACGTACATCATGTGGTTTCTTATGGTTTGCTTTTTGGACAAAACACCGATATCAACATAGCCCTATATTAGCGTGATGGTATACAAGTATAATTAATTTTAACTTTATCGTGAATTAAATTTAAAACTCGTATTTTGAGGTTAACTCACGATAAAATTAACCTGAACAACAATGGCGACCCTAATATTTTTCTTTCAAGTGTGGTTCCCTTTCATAATGGCTTTCCAAACTAAGAAATCTACGCTTAGCTTGAAAATATGAATAACCAAAGGCAATCAGAGGAATCGTAACGACGAATCTACCGTCGCATAGCTGCTACGTTCCGTTGTTTTTAATTATATTTTCTACCGGCGCCATGCTCTTGTGTTGACGTCAGTATCAACCTGAAAACGTGAGATGATAAAAACCATCGTTCGAAGTATCAATTGGCGGCGATAGACATTACGTTCAGCTGACCCATCTGCTCGTTTGTCCCCTTAAACTTAAAAAAAAATAAAGAAACCGCTCCATCTGTTGCATTATATTTTTACTCACAGTTTCTTTGCTTACACCACAATGGATATGTAATTTCCAGATTTATTAGGTTTTCTTTAAACTGCATTTGCCTAAAACTTCCTTTAGTTTCTAAGTGACTTGCCCGAAAATACTTTGATGAATGATTGGGTGTTGATCGGTTAATGGACTTCCTTATTCGATTTACTGAAGACTGAGAAAAGGATATGGGTTACATTTCATCTACAAATAGAAAGATGTTCCTGAAGAAATGAAAAATAATTTATGCAAACAAAGCTACTTGCAAATGCTGGTACGCACATTAAGTATTCGAAATATAAATATGAATTGGTTTTCTTTTCTCGTTTATGAATTCCAAATACTTGAAAAGGTTTAGTTATTGATTCAACTTGAATCGAATTGATATCGAATTATAAATTAATACATACGTGTAAGTGTGCTAATAAAATATTGATGGCACTGCGCATTACGCCTACCCGCTAGTACGTTCTAAGCCTTAACAAGATTATCTACTCAATGTTGCCAAATAATAATAATATGTCAACAGATAGACTTTAAAAGACATAAAAGCACCAGAGCGTATTTTGTTCTTTTGTGATACATCATCATATTCATTTTATATTTTTACAGAAAAAAAATCCAGTTTAAAAAAAACTAGCATTTTTTAACTTTTTTTTTTTAAAGACGTCTGTCGCACTAAGAATACATCCTGTGTCGCGGGGGCTTTTACAATCATACATGAAACGGAACAAAGAACACCCAGACTCAGAACGACAATTTGTAGATCACACAAAGTGTCGTCCCATATGGGGATCGAAGCCACAACACTCAGAGTAGTAGGAAGCGGCGTGGCGACCGCTTAAACCACTCTCCATCCGTGCAGTCAATTTATTTAATTCAAATCTTTACAACCATCGGTACAACTTTCATTCGAATTGAATTTAGACAATAAGTGTTGTATCTTATCAAATTACAAACTCTAACATACGTTAACAAACAACTTTATAAAAACTACGTCAGGATCACTAACCAGTTTAACCCGTTTTTTCATCAAGTATAAGTTTCTTTTAGCAATATGTCTCTTAAATTAAACTATTAAGAGTTGAGTTTGCAATGAAAACCTTATTATTCTCTTGACAATCTTGTTTCGCATTATAATTATTCCGCAGTATATATCAAGGCTCGGACGTGTTCAACATGAAATTATTTATTTTTGTGTTTGTGTTCATTGGTGTCTGTCACTGTAAGTTGAGACTGAATGACTTTGGTGTAGAACTATTGCACTTCACTCGGTTAGAAACGGATGGTCACTTGTCATTATTGTCACCGTTCGGGATTTGGACGCTCTTGACTGGAATAACATTTGGAACATCTGGGACCAGTTACAGCGAAATGAAGAGAGCATTGTTTTTACCCAAAAACGAAATGAAATTAACTGATGAATATAAAGACTTGGTTGCTGCTGTTCTCTCGCGATCTCGAGAAATAATTTCAGATAGCTTTAATTTTGTGCTTATCCCTAATAATATTACTGTTTTTCCTTCATTTAGAAAGAGATTGGTAAATGATTTTGGAATGGCCGTTAAAGCTTTAGATTATACTGATCCACGTGTTAATATATTTGCTAACTCATATATTAAAGCCACGAGCAAACGTGTAAGTTATGATGTATTGAGATCTGATGATTTTGAGGTACCAAGCATGATATTAGTAAATGTAATGTCCTTTAAAGGATTGCTGTTCAAGCAACTAGAGTTGATTAAAGAACCATTCTATAATGAAGACAACAATGAGATAGGCAGTGTCAACATGATGTTTTCCAAGGGACTTTTCCCATTTTCAAATATAAAGACTTTAAAATCTTTTGCTTTGGAGTTACCTTACGACACTGGTAACAAATATTCTTTAATCATTCTTCTTCCGTACCCGTTAGTTAAAATCAGTGATATTTACCAGAAATTTAGCAACGTGAGCTTAAATGATATTTTTAAACAGTTAAATGATGATGTAAATACATTTGGACTAGAAAACGTACACGTCAAGCTTCCTAGATTTCGCATTTCTACGAACCTAGTGTTGAACAAGCCTCTAAATGATATGGGTGTTTATGATATATTTCAACCTGATCTATTTAATTTTAAACGAGCTACTAATGAAAAATTATATGTATCTTCGGTCATAAATAACGTGAATATTGATGTAACTATGGTAGGTCAAGTTACTTCAAACGTAACGTCCTCCAAGGTAATACCGACCCCATATTTTCCAATGAATAGACCATTTTTATACTACATTGTGGAGAAAACGACAACAACTGTGATAGTAAGTGGCATTTACTCAAAGCCTACTTTTTATTGACGGTGAAATAAAAGGGTATGTGGTACAATATGGATGGTACAGTTAAATCACAGATTGGGATATTTTACGACGGCCAAGAACAGAGATTGACATGTGATTTCTAAAGAGCATATCGGTTTTGGGTGAATCGTATGCGATTCACCCAAAACCGATATTGGGTGAATCGTATGCGATTCACCCAAAACCGATATGCTCTTTAGAAATCTTACAAATTAATGTAGTTATACTTTAAGTTACTTTTATAATTAATTATTATAGTTGTTGTTTTTTTTAATTAAAATAAATTGGTTTATAGTTTCTTTCTTAATTATCTAGTGTTGTATAAATTATACCTTGGCATTAAAGTTGTAAATTTCCTAAGAATTGGAAAGTAGTAAATCATTATGTTTTAGACACTAGTCGTGCAAATAAACATTCACATAATATCACTCATAATAATAATATTTTTAGATATCTGACACACAACGCCATCTAGTTTCAAACTAAGCATAGCTTAGAGTTAGAGGAAAGTTAGATCGACTGATAGAATTTTTAAATACTTTTTTGTAAATACATACAAATGTTAACATATAGGTAAATACAAACAAACAATTGCAGATCATATAAATATTTGGGAACGGACCTGATACATCAGCACAGCAGTCGCATACGCTACCACAGCGCAGCCAAGGCAGTCAAATAATACTGTGCATTACTGATGGTTTTTTATGTATTTACATAAAAGTATTTAAGAATTCTATCAGTCAATCTAGCTTTCATAGTACAAGCTTCTGCTTATTTTAAATCTATTATTATTATTAAAAATATCATATGCCGAGAAGTTTATATGGGGACCTATTATTTTAGCCCGCTTTTTTACTAATCATTTCTTAACTCTCAGTATAATTATATTCTCTATCAAAATAATAACCACCACGCTGAGCTAGTCTCACTATAAAATTAATGTTATCAATTTGGCGGTGCGCGTATCCTGAATTAATATATACTTAGACATTTCGTTAACGTCATAGTGCGAGGGTACCATACGTGAAATTTATCACGTTATTCACCAACGTCCATACCATGTTGAATACATCGGTTCTCGTCCGATCACCGAAGTTAAGCAACATCGGGCGTAGTTAGTACTTGGATGGGTGACCGCCTGGGAATACCACGTGATCTTGGCTTTTGCTTATTAATGTTTTTAAAGGCCGTGTGGTGTCGTGGGACATTCGATAGAAATGAAGTGCCTTATGCTGTTTGACAATGTTTTATTTATAAATTTTGGTAAAAAAAATTATAATATAAAGTGGTCATTTGCTAATGAACTAAATTTAGTTGTAAGGAAAGGCAGTTTTTTTTAATAAAAAAAAGTATTAACTCGAATACTTTTGTATGATATTGATTGTAGAGAAACAAGACTGGTCTCATTCTGATTAAATTCTCTAAAAATCATACGCAGCATCTGCTTAATTTGGGACTAGATGGCGTTGTGTGAATGTGGTAGAATATTATTATTATTTCAATCATCCTTAATACATTGTATTAACATATTGATTACATTTTTAAATATATTACAAAAGAAAAAAAATCGGTTATCTGTAAAGTCGGTTTACTGACGATAGTTGAACGTGACAACGTCATAAGAAAATACTGATGGAATGGTTGCATTTTTCAAAAATGTATTATTGTATACGAGTAGCAGCTGTCCACGCGGACGCATCGCTCACTCAAGTAGGAGAGAGACAGATGTCGAACTCTGCCGAACGCGGAGGCCGATTGTGCCTCTTTGTTACTCGTTCCGCGCTCTCGCTTGCACTTCACGCCTTAAATGGAACGCCTCAGAGCGAGGTAACGCCTCATGAGTCATGTTTTTTCGTGCGTGCAGCCGGCTCCATCGAATTATAAGACGTTGTCACGTCAAAAAAGCATTTTAAAATAGTAGATCACCGACATCGGGTACAGGAACCAAGATATTATTATTATCATGTAACCATCTCACGTGCGTTATTCTCGAGCTATTAAATACAAATGCACAATGCAAGTAGACGGATTACTTTTCCTCTCTGTCGCTCTGCAGGCAGTGAAAGCAGAGCGAGAGAGATAGCGACTAACGATTTTCTGTAACGTACCCTTTTTTCTCCTAAAGTCCCTCTCGGTAATAGCATACCTTTACTATAAATGCGCATCATCATGATAATGTAATGTAATTGGTTATAAGCAGTTTTAATTAAATGAATCATGAGGGATATTTTTTATGCTTTGTTTTAAACATCAATACCAACGTGGCCCTATAATACCGTTTTATTTATTACACGAGTATAACGAGTGGATGTAAAATTTAGCTCACTATTTATAAAGCTAATCTTATCAACAACGCGACGCGGTACACTAAGCGTATTCTAATAATAATTAAAAAAATAAAAACTGTTGACGTCAAGGGTCGGATAATACACGTTAAATATAATAGGATAAAGGCCAACGTCCATACCACGTTGAATACACCGGTTCTCGTCCGATCACCGAAGTTAAGCAACATCGGGCGTGGTTAGTACTTGGATGGGTGACCGCCTGGGAATACCACGTGATGTTGGCTTTTTGCGTTTATTTATAGTAAAACAGAATCATCGTTCGTCTTGGTAATAGCATCCTTAAATGATCATAATACGGTGTTTTTTATGCTTTGTTATTTTAGACAAAACACCAACATCAAAATACGGTATACAAGTATACATATACAACAAGCGCGATAGCATACAAGTATAACGAGTAGTTATTCATTTAGGTTACTATAAAATTAATCTTATCAACAATAGTGGCGCGGCGTATCGCCCGTATCCTAAATTAATATTTTGACATTTATTCGATGTCATAGTGCGAAGGTACTACACATTAAATTTATACTAGCACTCGCCAACGTCCATACCATGTTGAATACACCGGTTCTCGTCCGATCACCGAAGTTAAGCAACATCGGGCGTGGTTAGTACTTGGATAGGTGACCGCCTGGGAATACCACGTGATGTTGGCTTTTTGCGTTTATTTATAGTAAAACAGAATCATCGTTCGTCTTGGTAATAGCATCCTTAAATGCACATAATACGGTGTTTTTTATGCTTTGTTATTTTAGACAAAACACCAACATCAAAATACGGTATACAAGTATACATATACAACAAGCGCGATAGCATACAAGTATAACGAGTAGTTATTCATTTAGGTTACTATAAAATTAATCTTATCAACAATAGTGGCGCGGCGTATCGCCCGTATCCTAAATTAATATTTTGACATTTATTCGATGTCATAGTGCGAAGGTACTACACATTAAATTTATACTAGCACTCGCCAACGTCCATACCATGTTGAATACACCGGTTCTCGTCCGATCACCGAAGTTAAGCAACATCGGGCGTGGTTAGTACTTGGATGGGTGACCGCCTGGGAATACCACGTGATGTTGGCTTTTTGCGTTTGTTAATAATAAAATAGCCATCGTTTGCCCCCTTAAACATGAAAAACAAAAGAAACCCCTCCATCTGTTGCATTTTTTAAGGTTTAACCTAGTAAAACCTAATAGACAGTTTCGGTAAAAGGATCTGTATATTTTTACACGTGTTATACGTTATACTTGTAATTCTTTTTTTTTGGTTTGACAAATAGTAAACTCTTATAATTGAACTGGAATTACATACAATATAAATACCTATTTCTTAGCGTTCCATGGATTCACCGTGCTGGTGCCGAGTCCATCGCGTGATAGACTAGACGCGCGGGGCAACACATGCGACTTCCACAGCGCCTGGGAATTGCGACCCAGGTATAGGTTTGAGGAGCACTCCTTGCGACGAAGACGAGAACAGCAAACTCAAATAAAAACTGAGAACAGTATTTAAACACAAACTTCTGTTAAATAATTATTTTCTTTTCCATAATTACTATTAATATTTAATCAAAATACCAATTTAATAAATAAAATATTACTTGAAATCACACACAATACATAATGGGCATAGTTACCAAAAAACACTTACACACAAAAAAAAATTGGTTTGAGAATCTCTACCTTTTTAAAAATTTGTTTGAGTATGGAAAATGTGATTTAATTTTAGTTTTTGGTGTGGGTTTGTTTAGAAAATTATGTTAGTTATAGCCTAAGACCTAATAACAATTATATATTACGACGGACTGAAAGCCTTCCCCTTTTTGTAGTCGGTTATTAAAAAAATAACTAGTCAATTAGTAAGAAATAGATTTGAATTAATAGTAAATACAGCAAATGAGTTTTTGTTTCATGCAGTTTCTAAAATCATATTGTGTAGACACCTAGTTTGATGTAAACTTGTTAGATATTGGCATTGGCATCTGGGTTTTTGAAGAATTTTTGTTTTAATTTTAATCTAGTCAATTGATTTGTAAACCTGTCTTCAAACAAGAAAAATAATTATTAACCAAATCATAATGTCAAGTAAATTGCATTACACATTTCGGAGCCTGTTCACAAAATCTTGATAAAACCAGTTATGTATAAAGAAATTTATGCAATGACAATCAAAAAATTAACACTACTGTTTACGATTTAAAGCTTAATTTACAGTACAGTTTTAATGGATACGTATACTGCTTTATGTATCGCATGACATGCTCAGTTCAAAGTGTACTGTCATTGCTATGAAATGCTTTGCTCTGGTTTTGCTCTACGTCAGTGTTTGTAGTTCTAAAGTGAATGAATTTAGTTTGCTGCAATCGCTGTACGCTACACAGGTGCTAACTTGAGGACACGTAGTGATATTCCGTTTGGGATACGGAGCAACAACCTTTGGAGCATGTGAAAATAGCTACAGCGAAATTCAAAAAACTTTAAATTTGTTAGGGAACTTGACCAAAGTAATCGAAGACTATTAAGATTTGACTGGTGATGTATTGATAGGGTCAAATGAAATAAAAGTAGTTTTATCCTTGCGTTAAGACTAGTTTATAACTAAATTCTATCTATATAATATCTCTTACAGTAATAAATT